GTTAACTGAGTGTTGCCCTATTTTACAATCTTTCTTGCCATTGTTAAGTGAATCACTGCAGTTGTTAAGTTAGCAACACAGTTGTTAACTGAGTCTGGCTTGAGGGATCCTTGGTGCTCTCTGAGCTTGCTTGTTTTCTTGCAGACATTTCATTACCCAAACTAGGTAACTTCATTAGTGCTGGTTTCCTCCATTGACTTTGCTGGTCAGATGGTGGCAAAAGGTGATCACATGACCCTGGGGACACTGCAACCGTCATAAATATGAGTCAGTTTCCAAGCATCTGAATTTTGATCATGTGACCATGGGGATGCTGCAACGGTTGTAAGTGTGAAAGATGGTCATAAGTCACTTTTTAACGTGCCATTGCAACTTCATATGATCACTAAATAAACTATTGTAAGTCGAGGACTACCTGTAGTTAGAGAGGAGTTAGCCAGATCATCCTAGAACCACAGCCAGACTTGGAATCAAAAAATTCTGAGGAGGAGTCAGTGGCAAACCCCTTTAGTCAGGATGCCAAGCAACTACCTGGGTGTGTCTCCGTAGGAGTAGAGCTTAACTGGAGGGCATTTACTTATGCCAGCTTGTTTTATTTATTTTAATAAAAGAACCAAGGAACCCGGCCAATGTAGCCACCGGTGTCGTATTCCTTGTCCCTGAATTGTGACAAGAGTACTCATCCTCACAAAAAAGTATTTTCTGGGAAGACCTCAAGCTGGTAGAAGAGCTGTCTTAATTGGCAGTCATCCAAAGAATAGCAGGGGGATTTTTAAAGTTTTTTTTTATTCCGCTTTTATTATTTTATAAATAATTCAAGGTGGTAAACATAATATTCCTTCCTCCTCCTAGTTCCCCTATAGCAGGGATCCCCAACCTAGGGTCCACGGCCTGGTACCGGGCCGTGGCCTATTTACCGGGCTGTGGGAATAGCTGGTGAGCTCCCCCCACTCACGGTAGTGCCGCCGTATGGGGCCTAGCAACCCTGTTTACGCATGCGCGGGTGCACTAGCACTGCCACCAGCATCACACAGGCACTAGCGTCCTGTTTGCGCATGTGCGTGGGTGCCAGCAGCCCATTTGTGCATGCACACAGGCGCCAGAACACTGCCACAGGTGCTCTTGACCCGCTTGTGCATGCATGCGCACTAACACTGCCACTGTTCGTGCGCCCATTTGCAGGCCGCGTGCACACACATTTTCCCTACTCCTTCCTTTCCTTCCGGGCCGCCAAGCTGGAAAGGTTGGGGAGCTATGCCCTATAGCTGTGCCCTATAGGTTGGGGAGCTGTGCCCTCTGCAGTAGATTGGGTTGAGAGAGAGGGCCTGGCCCCAAAGTCAGGCAAACTGGTTTCCATATCTAAGGCAGGACTAGAACTCACTGTTTCCTGGTGATTGATCCAAAGTCACCCAAACTAGTTTTCAAACCTAGGGTGGAACTAGAATTCACAATCTCCTGGTTTCTAGCCAGGTGCCTTAATCACTAGACCAAACTGTTGCTTAGTTAATAATAATAATAATAATAATAATAATAATAATAATGATAATGATAATGATAATGATAATGATAATAATAATAATAATAATAATAATAATAATAATAATAATAATAATAATAATAATAATAATAATAATAATAATAATAATAATAATAATAATAATGGTGGTGGTAGTGGTGGTGGTGGTGATGATGATGATGATGATGATGATAATGTTGGAAGGGATCTTGGAGATCATCACCCCCTGTTCAGGCAGGAAACCCTATACCATTTCAGACAAATGGCTGTCCAGTCTCTTCTTAAAAATTTCCAATGTTGGAGCATTCAGAACTTCTGGAGACAGGTTGTTCCACTGATTAGTTGTTCTAACTGTCAGGAAGTTTCTCCTTAGTTCCAGGTTGCTTCACTCTTTGGTTAGTTTCCATCCGTTGCTTCTTGTCTACCTTCAGGTGATTTGGAGAATAGCTTGACCCCATTTTCTTTGTGGCAACCCCTGAGATATTGGAACACTGCTATCATGTCACCCCTGGTCCTTCTCTTCATTAAACTAGACCAGGGGTCTTCAAACCTGGCCCTTTTATGACTTGTGGACTTCAGCTCCCAGAATTCCTCAGCCAGCATGCCTGGCTGAGGAAGCCTGGGAGTTGAAGTCCACAGGTCATAAAAGGATGAAGTTTGAAAACCCCTGAACTAGATATACCCAATTCCAGCAACCGTTCCTTATATGTTTTAGCCCCCAGTCCCCTAATCATCTTTGTTGCTCTTCTCTGTACTCTTTCTAGAGTCTCAGTTAGGGTATTTCATGGTGATTGCACATTAAGAACTTGTGGTACCACTTGTGTAACTGCACTGACTCTGTATTGTTTTCTAAGCTAAATTCAAGAGGCTTGTTTTAATAGATAAATCAGTTTACATCTCAAGGGCAGCCTGCCTAAAGGAATTATTCCCATGTATTAACTCACCAAGAGTTTCAATCAGTAATCAAGATTCATTCAGGGTTACCTGCCTGAGCAGGGGATTGGACTTGATGACCTCCAAGGTCCCTTCCAACTTTACTATTATTATTATTATTATTATTATTATTATTATTATTATTATTATTATTATTACTACTACTACTACTACTACTACTACTATTATTATTATTATTATTATTATTATTATTATTATTATTAAGGGTGTCACCAATTGGAATTATTTATTATTTATTTATTTATTTATTTATTTATTTATTAGACTTATATGCCGCCCTTCTCCCCACAGGACTCAGGGCGGCTCACAGCATATTAAAACAGTACCAAAGCATTATCCCCAATAAAAACCAATTAAAAACAAATATTTACCGCTGTGTCATGTTAAAATAATGATTAAAATTGTCCCTGTTTAAAATTCTCCCTAGGCCAGACCCGCTTGCTGAAAAAGCCATGTCTTGAGGGTGCGGCGGAAAGCTAGGAGATCCGGAATCGTCCGGATCTCGGGGGGTAGTTCGTTCCAGAGGGTGGGGGCACCCACAGAGAAGGCCCTCCCCCTGGGGGTCGCCAGCCGACATTGCTTGGCCGACGGCACCCTGAGGAGGCCCGCTCTGTGGGAGCGTACCGGTCTGTGAGAGGGAATCTGTGGCAGAAGGCGGTCTCGG